GACGATTCGAAACCCTAGGGTCAACGCCGGTCAACGCGTAACCCTAGGTCAACGTCAGTCAACGCGTTGTGACCAGAGTCAACGTTTGACGATTCGAAACCCTAGGGTCAACGCCGGTCAACGCATAACCCTAGGTCAACGCCAGTCAACGCGTTGCAACAAAAGTCAACGTTTGACAATTCGAAACCCTAAGGGTCAACGCCGGTCAACGCGTAACCCTAGGTCAACGCCAGTCAACGCGTTGCGACCAGAGTCAACGTTTGACGATTCGAAACCCTAGGGTCAACGCCGGTCAACGCGTAACCCTAGGTCAACGCCAGTCAACGCGTTGCAACAAAAGTCAACGTTCGAGGATGAAAATCCACACCAATCAACGTTGACGACGGCCAAGCGATAAACGCAGCGCCGAAAGAACTTCGGCTATTCGTCAAAGCATCGAATAGACTGAAAATCGAAGGAGCCAAGAGTTGAAGCTAACTACAGGTCCTTACGCCGACTGAAGGCTAGACCAATCACATCCAAAGTATTCCAGCCTCTTCTATAAAAGAAACGAGTCTGGAACGCTTTGGAGGGGGTATCTGTAGGCATCGAAAATTGCCTATAAGTCTCCACGAACGGTTCAGTGTTAAGAGCGACGATGAACGTCACTATCCGATCCACAGGAGTTCGATTGACGTCGATGAACGATTGAAGTGAATCGACGAACTACGTGAGCTGATAGGATTTCGGGATAACAAAGGCACGGGCTAATCGAGAGCCCCGTGATGTTGTAAAAAGAACAACGCCCTTCGTGTCTCGTTCATTCTACAGATAATCCAACCACCGGAGCGGATCTAACTCTTCGTCAAGCTTCCAACGCACTTGGAATCACTCAAATCCGAGTTCGGACGAAGAATTTACGGCGATAACAATCGGATGCACCTCAACGGATGTCTCAGGAATTCCAAAACACCCCCAGGGGTGTCTCAGAAATTCCGAGACACCCCAAGGGTGTCTCGACGCCCTAGGTGCCCTCATTGCCTATAAATAGGAACCTTAGACCTCACTTTTGGAGGATCTGGATTTTTGGAGAGTTGGCGAAGCCCTGCTGCAGTGAAGAGTGGTCGAGCGCTTCAACAGAGGAGAGGAGAGGTCTTCATCAGAGTCTTCATCACCCGT